GTGTGTGTGTGTGTGTGTGTGTGTTTTTCATGCAGACAGTTGATAGAAGTCATGCACTGAGTTGAAGAAAGATAATGAGCTTCCATCGTCATGTGGATCTCGCTGCAGGGTTATAAAACGTTGACAACAGCATTGAATTTCTTCTTGGTGATCTGCTAAAGCCAGACTGACAGGTGGGGCTCGACCTCTGGTGAGTGGTGTTTTATACGCTTCCTTGAGAAAAAAGAAAATATTGTTCTCGTAGTTTACTCCACCATGAAGATAGGAAGCAGGAGTGATTCCAGCTTTAGATTTGGGCACTATATGAATCACTTGTTTCGTTTGCACTTGAAGCTCCTCGAAGTGGCCGGTCTCACTGCGTCTTCTGTGGGGATTCAAGTTGAGCATTCTGGGGTCAAAATGTTGGTGAACACAGTCACACCTGAGTGAGGAGGTGACACATGAGGGGGGTCCTCTTGTGATGCCAAATAGAGCCCCAAAGATTAAAAAAACTCTCCATTACACTACAGTCTGTCTCTTTCACACACACACTAACCTCATATATGAGACACAGGAGCGGAAACGGGTCGAATCCTACTTCAAATTCTCTTTCCTCTCGGCTTGTCGACCGGGGAAAACAAACCGACCCGAGGCACAGCGAATGGGGATTTACTAATTAACTACTTACACAGACACACACACACACACACTGGGTGAGAGAAAGAGAGAGAGTGTGTGTGTTTGAGAGAGGGAGGGAGGGATGCACACCTCCTCCTGCTTTCCCCTCTTTCTCCTCCCTCCCTCCCTCCCTGTGCTCTCCTCTCCGGGTTCAGGTTGGTAGTGATGCTGCCTCTCCGGTCGCTGGCTCGCTGCGCCGTCAGGGTGAACGCGTGTGGATAGACTGGTCGCACTTGAGCCGGTGAGAGCTTTAACACCGCTTCCTGAAAATAGTAGCTGGAGGTATGTTGTCCTCTTTTTGCACATTTTAATTACACAGGCCTGTAAAATTATCATTTTTTTTCAAATGGTGATGGATTTGTTTCATTTTTCTCTAGAAGCAACAACAACTCCATAAAAGTTGTTATTTTTGTGAGTGGGTTTATAATGTATATTGTGATCGATGTTCGGTGGCGATATTATTATTGATTGTTGCCATAATTGTGCTGTTATTGGAACGGTTGTTTTGTCTATATTGCGATCAGTTTGCGGTGCAGCCTTGTACCAAAAAGTTGGACCGTGCGTAATTTACGCATGGCCGTTATTTGGAAACTTGGATGTAATTTCCTCATTTTTGGCTCCTCTTTTTGTAAACATTGTGGAAGTTTAGATGTTACGCTATTACCAATTTCTGTTTTTTGGCGCGTATGTGAGCAGGTCTGGAAGTCTCGACTGTGTACGGCAGCACTTTGAAGCGTTCAGCTGCCGGCGTTGGCCCGGATTAGCCTTTAAGTGTCTCTATTTGTTAAGGCGTCCAGCCCTCACCTCCGCACCGCCGTATCAATCAGTCAATTAAACAACCGCTCACACACACAGCGGGCTGCACGAGACTCCAGCCGTGCACACACACACACACACCCTCCCTCCCTCGTCCATTTCTCTACGCGCGTGTGTGAATGACCCACGTCTAATTTACAAGGATTGTTGGTGTGTGTGTGTGCGTGTACGTGCGTAATGTTCTCGTGTCTTGCTGCTCGTTCTCTGTTGGCTCCTCCGGGATGTAATTGCACGTGCAAATACTATAATTGATTTATTCTTCTTCATTTATGTTTCACCAAAATTATTTTTCAAATACTTAAGTATTTTCTCCACAGAAACACTCCTCTCTAAAAACAGCTACTGTCTGTGGCCATGCGTCAATATGTTCACCCAAACAAAATGCTGAAGTTTACTCTGTGTGTGTGTGTGTGTGTGTGTGTGTGTGTGTGTGTGTGTGTGTGTGTGTGTGTGTGTGTGTGTGTGTGTGTGTGTGTGTGTGTGTGTGTGTGTGTGTGTTCAGACTCGCATGGGAGTTACTTTCAGAAGTAGTGGGCGCATCGATACAGTGAGTCAAACTTGAAAAAACACATATTTGGAATAATCTCTGTGTGGATTCGCTGCTCTCTCCCTCAGATTTTTCTCTCTTCTCCTTTTTTTTAGGTGTTTACCCTCTTACAACTTTGATGCATATTTATGTGTGCCGTGGGTGAACTCCATCAATTATTTGTGCCTGTATATTTCCAGATAAACAGTGTCTGTAAATCAATACATGCATGTAACTATTGCAGATTAAGAGATCGATCAATGGATCCACCCTAACCCCGGCCAGTGTTGTTGTTTTCTGGCTTCAATTATTCACATCTAACTTTCCCCAACCCCAGCCGTCCTCAATAAAGTTTAAACGGCGTGCGTGTAGTGTGAGGATGTGCGTGTGAAATATAGAGGCCTGACAAGTGAGGAAGGTTTAGGTAAAATTATTTAATTCACAGTTGACAACAAATTAATTCACCCAAACTTAATGAGTGATCAAAATAATTGTAATAATAACGATATAGTGATGATGGTGATGTGGCTGTTTTAAAAGGGTGAACAGCCTGAATGAATAAAATACTACATTTCAAGGTGAATTTTTTTGTTCCAGTTCCATCTGAAGTCACTTTGGCTCCACAGCGAGCAGCCAGCTTCGCTCCTCCCGGCTCCAGTCTCTGGGCCACAGCTCGTCCATGCCGGTGTCCTCTCTCCCTCTGCGTGCGTGTGTGTGAACTTTCAGGCCAACGTGTTGAACCTCTCTCCTCTCCAAGTCCCCCCCGTTTAATTGGATTACCTCCCTGGTTTTGCGCCGCTTCTCGTCGGCCGCCTCATCCGTCTCTGTGCTGTCAATACCTGGCTGGAAATATTTCCGACATTAAATGGCATTCGGGGAAATTTTCTCCCCCACCGCACGTCACTCACCCTCCCCTCCGCCATGCCTCCCCTCTGCTCGGACGCTTTGAACTCGTTAACCCGTCCAATTACATTTGTTATAAAATCAGCTCTTTAACGCTGCACGCTGCTGTTTGTGCACCCTGCAAAGTAGAAGGAGGTAGAAATGATAAATATGTCTCTGATAAAACTCCCATTTATCTACA